CAGGGCCGGTTCCACCCAACATGAGGCCCTAGGCGCTAGACGTTGATTGAGGCCCTTGATTTAGCGTTTTGGTCCATAAATTTAATCTCGAATTTAATCAATCGATTACCTAAGGGAAAATGCAAAACAACTATTTAAACTCTTATTAACTGTTTTTATTTTTAAACAAGTTTCTAACAAACAAAACATACATGATACAGTAACCGATGTGTATCACGCAGATTCTTAAAAATATAGAAATCCTACTAGAAAAAAGAAAAAGAACACATTAAAAATTCTTTTTTCTGGTTTTTTGTTTTGAAAAGATATCAATAATGTCATCGAAAGGTATGCTGCTTACCACATCCGATTCGATAAAAAGCATTGAAAGATTAGTAGTTTTATCTTGTAGCAAACTATTCCTTAAATAATTTTTGATCCTTTTCAAAACTGAAAAGGCACGCTCTCCAGAAGCATTACTAACCGGCAATGTCAAAAATATTTTTAAAATTGTTTCTACGTTTGGAAACGTGGATCTTAGACCATCGTTAATATGCTTGTACATAGCAAACGGATCCGTAATATTTTCTTCTTTCGCATAATTTAAAAAATGTAACATTTCCTCTTGAAAGTAATCGACATTAATATCATCTTTATATACCTCTTTTATTTTACTAATAGAAAGATTAACTTCTATATCTGTCAAGTTAGTATCAAAAAATATTTTAAAATTTTTTAAAATATCGGTATAAACTTGGCTCCTTCTGTCTAGTTCACTAATTATATTGTCACAAATAACATAAACCGTTTGTGTAATAAACTTTTTGCGACCTCTCAAAAATACTTCATTAGTTGATGTCTCGTCACTTTGCAATTTTCTTGTTTTTTGACGGACTCTTTCGTCATTAAACACACATGAGTCAGTCAACACCTTAGCTTCATCTTCAATTTGTATGAAATTATCCCGAACATCTATTATAAACTGCTTTAAAGATTTTAATAAGTTTTCGCCATTTAACAAATTAATTTTTGGATCTTGGAGTGCTTTACTTGTATAATTTAACCTCACTAATATTTTATACCATAAAGTTGTTAATAAGGCCGTTTCATATTTTTCAAAATGTTTGATTAACCCTTTTATTTCAGTGCGCGCTACAGGCTTTTCGTCTTCAGACTGATACATTTTCATTAAAGCTTGCTGTATTTCTTTGTAGCCCTTTTTAAGAGCCAATATAGCATCGGCCCTAGCTGACCATCTTGTATCGCACACTTTTTTTAGGGTTACACCATCTTTTGGGAGAATGTTCTTTAATACATTCCATCGGCGAGTTGACGCCGAAAAAAAAGTAAATAGATTTTGACAAAAAGAAAAAAAATTCACAGCATCAAAACAAGATTCTACTGCGTTATTTCCCACTAAATTTAACGAATGGCTTGTACAAGGAACATAAAATGCAGTGGGGCTATGTTTTTTAATTCGGGACTGCAAGCCAGAGTACACCCCTGACATGTTTGCCGCATTATCATAACTTTGTCCCCTACATTTGGTAATATCTAGTGAAAACTCTTTAAAAGCACCTAAAATTACATTTTCCAAATGTTCTGCGTTATGTGCTTCTATGGGTATGATTCCCAAAAATCTTTCTTTTATCTCGCCGTGTTGGTTTAAATATCTGATGATTAAAACCAATTGATCTACGTGAGATATATCAGGTGTAGAATCTACGCTAAGTGAGAAATACATCGCGTTTCTAATGTCATCCAAGATTACGTCTAATGTTTTTTTAGCCATTAAATTAATAAATTCGTCACAGATACTATGGGATAGATAATTAACACTCCCTTTACCGCAATTTCCGTATTTTTCTAAATGCGATTTTAAAAAATTATCAAACTGACTCAAATATTCCAAACATGTCAAAAAGTTGCCTTTATTTTGGGACCCTACGGTGTCATTAGTGCCCCGAAATGCCAATCCAAGCGAACCCAACAGTTTAACTGTAGCAACGACTCTTTTTAAAACTTCTCGCCAATAATTTTCTTCAGACTTCAACTGTTTACACAGCTCAGCATCAATTCGGCCTGACGATAAACGTCGTTTATTGTAACAACACATAGATTTAACGTGCTCCTGGGAACGTTCGTGATCAGTTAATATTCTACAAATATTTTTCCAGTCATTGCACCCTACGATCATTTTGGAAGAAACACGTGAACGTGAAAAAAGTTTGCAAACAAAACAATACACCGATTTACTAGTGTCTGAAAATATCAACCACTCACGTTTTTCCTTAATCCCATTTGATTTGATGGTGTAAAAGTTTGACTCTTGAAAAGTTCTGGTATATACTTTTTCCTTATCGACGTAGGATGATTTTAAATTTTCAATTTTTCCAAAATTTTTAGGAACACTATCCAAGATTTCACCAATAAGTTTTTCTGAAATGTCTGTTGGCCACTTCGCAATATCCCCTAACTGGAGGCTAGTATCGTCAAGCTTCAAGTCGTTCACAATTATCCCCGTATCCGTATCGCCCGTATCCTCATGATGACGTGAATTTGAAGTTTCTTGATGCAAGGTATTCGCGATAATGTCGTCGTCGTCTTCATCTTTAGTGTTTCGGTTTCCACATTCTGAAGTACTTTGCCTTTGCCTTTGCGGAACAGGAATACATATACTTGTACTAGATGGTGGGTCGAGATTTCTCGTCATAGCAGAGGAGTTAGATAAAAATGACGCCATTGAATTTCTAAGAGCCTCCTGTTCCACAATGCGTTCTTTTTGCTTTTTTCGTTTGGCAGATCCAGATTCATATGACCTTTTCATACTGCCGACACTAAAACAACATTTAAAGTTAAACTAAAAATAACCCAACAGATCAGGTGACCGTGACAGTTAATGAATATTGTAAGATTCAATCTTTTTCTTTTACTAATATTCGTGTTAAAAGTAGGTAATTTGTGCTTCCCCTTTCGTACTTCCTACTTACCCTTGAATGTTTATTTAATAAAATAAATTGCACTTTCGAAGTTCCAGCACTGTGAAAAACTCAGTATAAATTAATATAGGCTTTACTTTAACTTTATGTATAATGTATTTCACGCGAACGCGTGCAGCAGCGGCTCATTGACGAATTGCACTATCAGCTACTTGCCCTCCTTCCCACAATCACACTTCGTTTCGTTGCAACGTACGAGCCTTACGAGGTACGACGTTGCACTTGCCAGCGATGTCATTGAGCCGGAACGCGCCGGAAGCATTTACCCTTTACCAAATCGAGGCGCTCTTCCTAATTTGATTTTTACATTCATTCATATTTTAAAATTAAATATAAATAAAAAGAATTTACATTTATCTGTTTATATTTAAATTTTTTGCATTTTATGGGGCCCCTTTAAAGTTGGGGCCCTAGGCTAGCGCCTAGTGCGCCTAGTGACAAAACCGGCCCGTTGGTATTAGACGCTGGATCAACCGCTGTCAATCGTAAGTTCAATTGTGGCTTTAAATAGACATTTTCAGCATATTAATCTGTAAAATGTAACAGTTAGGTATGTGATGGATGCCGACTTACTAAGCAGCCTATCTGAAATCACGGTTGCAGCCAACGAAGCGAGCTAGCGAGTATCCTAACGTACATACGTGCTTATTTCAAAGGAAACAATGACGAGACGCTAGGGACAGTATGCTCTGGCTGATAGCGACTAACTTCAGCTCACTCTTACGTGATTATTGTTATGGAACTACTTCATATCGTATATCATAACCAAACAACGAATTAATTAATTCGTTGATCATACCCTATAAACTGTGCTTACTGTCGTGCCAATAAATTTTAGGAAAATAGCACAGAGTCTACTTATATTACTTTGTGGTAGCGTATACATTGTATAAGAAAAATGAGAATTACGTAATTAATTCACATTGCAGAGAAAGGAGGAGGTCCATGACACCGAAAAAACAACAAACTTTCCACAAATATTTATAACAAATAATAGCTTATAACAAATTCAATATTAAAAGCACTGTTCAGTGTTTTAGGAATAAAAAATGTTAAAAGCTTTGAATCTACTAATAAAGCTAAAATTTTTCTAAATTAAAATACCTTGAGTACTACATTTATTTTGTTATGTGAATGACTGTAGTGTAGTTGCAGAGCAAAATATTACCCTGCACAATGGTAATTTAAGTAGGATAAAATGGTGAAATAAAGGAGAAAAATAACAATTTATTTATTTAATTCGTAATCTACATTTTACTCCTATCACTTTTTTGGAAATGTAATCTATAGTGAACCTGTTTACTTTAAATTGCATAAGATAGGGAACAATAAGCATGTGCTAAATATATTCATGATCTAAGGCAACAGAAGTACTTGGTTTATTTAACGAATACAAAATTTGATTTTTTTCTGAATATGTCGGCTTATTGAAGTCTAATAACGTTTTCTTTCTTTTCTTTTTAGTTGAATATAGACGCACTTGTTGATCAACTTTTTCATTTGTGTTTACTTTTCCAACCATTTTTAAATCTAGTTTTTCATTTTTATTTACAATACTGATTACTTTATCAAGATGGTTTGAAACATTCTGCAGCTCATCCTCCGTTAATGAGGTTGTTTTGCACAAACCTATAATTAATTCTGCTTTTTTTTACAAGAATTTCATTATTTTGTGAACCGTTCATAACAGCATTCTTTATAATGTTTGCTGAAAGCATTTCTGTCACCTCATCATTGTTACCAAGCTCAGTACTTGTGGAAGGCTTAAAATTACCATACATCGATGCACAAGCATGTATATGTTTACATATGTTTAGCTTAATAACATTATCTACACATGAACATTTAAAGGTATGTATACAAATATTACAGTCATTGCAATGAATGCATGCATTTGAACAAACAGTATTTAAATTTGTAATATGATATTCATCTACCTTATTGGAAGACACTACAAGAAACTCACTTTCGTTTAAAAACTTAATCATGGTAGTGGGAATTAATTCTCCAGCCTTATGACTACACTTAATTCTCTTAGTTTTAGTGGTAACCTGATTTTTTGCTAGTCGAATTACTCGCTTATAGAAACTGTCACTAGCAATTTTCATCACTGCATGTATACTTTTATCTAATCTCTTTACTTTACGCCCTTCTAGATATATATGTTTCAATACTTTGTGTAGGGATTCTAAATACATATTCGTATTTATACCTAAACCTACACGGTAACAATATGCCCAACATTAGGAACGATTGGCATAATGTGTCACAAAATAATTCCCAAATGTTGCTGTGTCTACATCTTCCATTAAGTCTCTTACAAATTTAGCAAGACAATTATGAAAATCATCAGTTGAAGTGATTTGTAGTAGCACCCTCATTGCCTTATAAACCGACGCTCTTTTTTCAATTCCACCTGAAATTTTCATTAAATTTTGTCTCCAGTTACGGTCCACATGCCAAGTACATAATAGGCGATGTGGAACAGGTCCCATAACAAATGACCAGGCATTATAAAATGCAGGTGCATCATCAGTCATGAATGTAGATGTTTTAATTTCTCCCACTTGTGCCTTTATGCGTTCAAAAAATAATTTGAAAACAACTTCGTCAGAACGATTTGCAAAACAAAATGCCACCGGTCAACCACTGCCAAATTCATCAACAGTCATTACTGTATACAATTGGAAATCGTAACTATTAGTACCGTGAGTTCCATCAATACATATCTTCTCATGACCGAATTTTAATAACTGTTGACTTTGAAAGGACGTCATTATTACTAATGCAAAATCTTCAGGGTTTAGTATACTAGATTCACATTCTATATTCTGTGGTTTGTAAAATAAAACCGGGCATTCTTTACCTAACATTTTCATTTTTTCAACCCATAAAGTTACACTAACTGCATCATTTTCATGGTGCTTAGTATCATAATCGATATGAAACTCCTTCATTATGTTTCGCAAATCAGTTCTATCTAATAGCTGGAGACGCTGGAAGCCTTCTTCTGTTATGCCTGCATCACGTATTGAATCTAATATGTGCTCAAAACTCACACCTTCTTTTAATTTTCCTAGAAGTGAATTGGAATAGATAATTTAATTTTACTGAAATTATAATTACCAGCAATCTCCAGTCTCATATTTCTGCTTAAATTAATTCGTCCAAGATCCATTGAATGTCCAACATGCGTTTTGAAAAAATGTACTTCAACATTTCCATCGGGAGTGGAGGATACAACTTCCATTCTAGCAGGACAAGCCTTCCCAATTTTATTAGATCCAATGCTTTTGATGGATCGCACATTTTTACCTCTTGACGTATAATTGTACGATCGATGGCAATTAAAATATTGTTTCCTTTTTTCATTCTCTAAAGGCGTAGCAGCAGTGTCCAAAGTATATCGCGATAAAGTGTTCCCTTATACTTCTTGCTTCCATTTATTAAATTCTGAGATTTGAAAACAAATTTTATTAGTTATGTATTTTTATACCTTAAAAGCATTGATTGATAAATACAAAGTTAGTAGATATGCTAATGGTAGGTATGACATTTATACCTACCTGAAATTGATGGGAAGTTAAGAGTCTCCGTTTCGATTTCCACATTATGAACTTCCTGCAGATGAACATGTAACTGTTCATACTTGCTGAAGCTACCATTGGAGCAACCCTCATACGAACAAACAATTCTTTTATTACGAGTAATTGTCGAGCAATTGTCTTGGATAATTTTATGTGTGGATATATGACGTCGAAGGTTGAATTTTGTAACAAACGTTTTTCCACACACATCACATTGTATCTGACCAGTACTAAAGGACCGTTTCTTTGGAATTAGTGTCTCATTATAATCTGGATGAAATTTTCTTATATGAATGTACAAGTTTTTCTTGTGTCTAAATCCACAATTACATTCCGAACAAAAATGATCTGCCATAATTTGTTTTTAGTACCGATTCCCACAAATCTGAAAGAGCACAAGTTTATAAATTGAATAATACTTATCATTGTTATACTTTTACTTACTTATACTTTATCACACACCTGATCACAATCTTGTATTACGTCTACTATTAACTATTTTTTACAGAAAAACATAAAGCAAAGAACAACTCGTCGATGTTTCAAATCTCAGCATAAATTATTAAATTAAAAGTACTACTTGAATTTCAATCTCACAATTAAAGATATTATAAATAAACATGAAGTTCGCCCTAAAAAATAATACATGTGAAGTACGTCCTCACAGCCAGAGCGTACTGCCCCTAGCGTCTCGTAAACAATGAGGAATACAGTACAAAAATTGCGAGTTTTGGAAAAAGAGCAAATCTTGAAATTTATAAATGTAGCACTTCATGAAACATTTTTACTGGCTAATGTAAGTAAGTTGTTATAAATGAATATTTAAATGTGTAATTGTTATTTTGCGCCTAGGATTTAGTAATTGGATTGGCTGGTACTCTGAGGAGAGGTTCTTTATTAATTTCCAAAGAAGAAAATTTACTTGTCAGGTCATTGGAATAAACAACATTGGCAAAGGATCCTGTGAAATTGACAAATATTTAAAATTGCAGAAGATTTTAAAGGTAGATATAAGATAGGTAGTAATTTCATTTAACCGTTTGTATAATTGTACAAAATATTTCAAATTATCCAAATTAAAGATATTGATTGTAATTTTATTGAAAAATACATTCCGTTTCAAATATCTACTACACCTAACGTTTACACACACATAAATTGTAATTTTAAAAAACGATTTCAGATTGCATGGATGTACATTATGGAGACCTTTTTGAAAACTACAGCAGATGAACTAAACAAAAAAGTGAGCTAGTGCAGCAAAAAATTGCCAACAAACGTATTCAAAGGGAAGAAACCAAATCTGAAAATATGGGTGCCTCTACGTTGCAAGAAAAAAGTTGGGATTTACATGACAGCGAGGAGTTCGATACTAGCGAGGAGTTGGAGAACATTCTAAGTAAATACGAAAACTACCCCGAATCAGAGGATGTTCCAGATAAATGCGAAACCGCTGAGTAAAATAATTGTTGATTGCTTATTAATAAGTTCATATATTACAATTGCATCATTATTTGTATGTATCTTTACAACACTGATACAAACACACCACGCGCTAACGATCTGTTTACTTTAAAGTTATGCCAACAAACATATAGCTGTTCGTATAGTGGATAATGCCGGTTTTGCTAACAAAAATGGATATAGCCGGATTTGTTGCAAATTGGGTACTTTAAGTGGATATTTACTTTGGTTGTAGTCGGTTTTGAACGAAAATGATGCATGGAATGCTTAGATAATACGGATGTGGTACACTTTGCACGAAAAAAATTAAATGTTCCAAAAGTGGATTTAGCCGGCTTTGCACGCAAGCTCCTCAATTGAATTTAGGTCTGAGTTTTGGCATTATAGTTTTTGGATATATTTTTCTTTGCACGTTACTAGCATTGGGGTTATCCCAGTAAAGTACCGTGTTCTGGATAAAATGCAAATACCTACTCGCTTTCGAATTGACGAATGCTAAATATCGATTAGCTGGAAATGATCTATAGACTCGGATAGTGGTGACTTCAAAAATGTGTGGGAAATTTGAAATTCTGGACAGTTGGATATTGTTGTTTAGAACTTGACCCTTAAGTACAACTTATTTAAGGTCCAATAATTTAACACTTAATTAAAATCACAATTTAATGGACTGTAAAAGAGAGATAAGACTTACGTCTCGATTCATCAGCCCTAACCTTTAAGTTTTTAAACACAGGCAACATGGGTTAAATAATGCAGTATTGATTTTATTTTATAGCATATTTAAAATGACATTTTAATACGTTTGAATAAGTAGGCTAAGCCGTTCTTTAACCGTAAGGATAGATAAAGTGATCACTTTAACCGTAAGGGTAGATAAAGTAAAACAGATGATTGCGCATTCTAATGACATCTGTCATTCTTATTTCAAATGCACGATATAAAATGATGTCAAGAACATATGACAATTTTGTTTCTATGGCAACAGCAGAACTTAAGCTTGCTATGTTTGACGTCTCTAAATTAAATTCAGAATTGTCAGAAGCTTAAAGCATGATTCATACTATACGTACGTATCGTCATAGTTCCGTTACCGTACCGTCAACGAAACGGTAAATATTATTACATTGAAAGCTATAGACATATTCAGACTACACCGTCACGTGGTGTAGACAAAAAAACCATCATAACGACCAAGCAATTTCAAAAGGTTCCGATGTCGCTCTAATCTTAGGAGACTGGAAGGGTTTTACCATTACTGCAGACCAAAGACAAAATCTTGTGACACTCGAATGAACTGTGCAGCAACATCGGGAGCATAATATGGGTTTAAGTTGACATTACCCTCAGCACAACGCATTTCCGCAGTTTTCCGAACATCCATTAGCCATTGCCGCAAATTGTCAGAGGTTTCACCGTCTTGTGTGTTTTGTTCCTTGTCTTGCATAGTATGATATAAGGCGTTATTTTCATTTAAAATCTCCGTTTGATCTACTTCTTCGAAAGATTTTATGCAACTTGTTAAATCCGTTAAACCATTGCTTCAGATATGGTTTCACTTAAACTCACTGTTATGTATTTGTTAAAATGTTCTGAAAATCTAGCAAATTGTCTGATTTAATTAGAAGACCTAAACATCTAAATAAAATTCTTTTGAGCCTTCTCATTGGCGAAGTTCTCCATTCCTTCCATTTTGCAGCGGAGTGGACAAAATGTGCTACATCCAGTCGAATAAAAGCGTTTGGAAGCACTGTATCTTTTTTTAATAAATGAAGAAAACATTTATCTTTGTAGTCAGCAACATCCCCTGATCGTCTAAAAGACCTGCAAACTGCGGATTTTAGAGCTGCAGAATTATCTATAACAACCTCCTTGGGGCATGGCGCCCCCCTCCGTTCCCATTCATTGAGCCAGTATAGGATGGAATTTGCATCATGCTTTTCGGAGAGCATTTGTATCACCGGAAATTGGGTACCATGTACATTAATTACACCTTCATACAAAAAGATATACTGAGAAGGACCGTTTAACCGTTGTATCTTATGTACCAAAAGAACCAGTAGCATCAATCGACAACACGACGTACGAAGACTTGCAAAAACCTGCATACACTCTTATGTGGCTTCGAGAGTAATAATTAGAGTGCGGATTTATAAGCACATATTTTTTAGAAAAAAGTGCTTAAAAAATGCTGTATAAAATACAAAATAAGCACTAAATTCATAAAAATATGCAAAAAAAAAGCAAATTAATTTTTAAAGTTTATTCCGAATAATTCTTGACACCACGAAACAATAATAAAAAAACTACTGTTCATCTTCTTGTTTATTAAAACAATGTATAATTAAATATTTTTCACAATTTTTAACTTTAAAATTTTGTCGTCGATCAGAAAAGATATTTTTGTACGTAGAAAAACTTCTTTCTACGTCTACGGAAGTTATCGGCGCATGTTTAAAACAACAGTAAGGAATTTTTACATCCAAATCAGTTCCTTCTAAAACCTTTGCAATCTCTTCAAGAATTTTAAAATCGCCATTCTTGCTGAATACGTCCTTCGCCTTTCTTGTGACAGCTTCTCCTACACGCCCCGGTACTTTGTACGTATTTGTTTTAAATTTTCTAACTATTTCAATGCTCTCTACTAGTGTTAAATTGGAGGATTCCAATTTTTTAATACTTTCCGCTACATAGAAATAGTTAGATTGAATAAATGCAACTTCTTTTTTTAATTATTCTTTGTGTTGTAAAAGCTGTAAATTCTGAAAAATGATTTTCATAATATTTGACAGCTTCTAACCAAGTACCCCATCTTGTGATCACTGGCTCAGGTGGTAAACCGACGTTTGGTAATTTTTCCTTAAATGCCTGAACACGGAGGGGTGCTTTAGAGAAAATTTTTTTGCCATTTTTTATTAAATCATTTACTTTTGGAAATTCTAATCTAATGGTTTCTGCAACCCTAGCCATTCCATGGGCGATGCAAGTGACATGTATCAAATTTCTACAAAAATCGTAGAAAAATTGGCGTAATTTATTATATTTTCAAAATCTATAATTATGTTTTCTGTAAAACTTCAATTTTTGACTTAATACACTTTACCCCCGAGGTGCTGACATAGTATATACGTTTTGGATGTCTTCTGTATATGCATGCATGTATACTGACAAGTGGATATACCATGAATATTCCTGTAATATGCAAAGATGTTCAATAGG